CTCTCTCTCTCTCTCTCTCTCTCTCTCTCTCTCTCTCTCTCTCTCTTTCCCTCTTTCTCTTTCTCTCCCCTCTTTCTTGTGGTAACAGCTGTCAACCTCAGTTAGATTCAAGTCAACTTATTAGTGCATGAATTTTAGCCAAAAGCAATTCACATTTGCAGAAGTGTACTATCATATATCTTATCTAATAAAGAGGGAATATGCTAATTGACCCTCCCTCATGCCATCACAAAGATGGCGGCACCCACAACCAATAGGGAGGGAATATGCTAATTGACTGCCCCACCCTCAAAGGTGTGGCATCCACAACCAATAAGTAGGTAATATGCTAATTTACTTCCATGCCCTCAGAGATGGCAGTGCCCACAGTCACAAGACAGCAGCACCCAGTCTTCTCAACCCAGCCAGGGTGGCAGGTACATGGCAAGGCCAGGCCTGCCCCCAGGTTGGCCTGGCCTTGCCACACACCTGCCTCCAGAGTCCCACAGTCCCCTCAGTCACCCAGCCACCCAGAGCCAGCCTGAGGTGCACACAACCCTTGGATGGTGGCTGCCTAGCTGCCCAGGGCCACATGATGCTCAGGTAACCAGGGCTGGCTCAGGCTTGCACTGCCGGCAGTGTCAGCAGCAGAGATGTGATGGGGGTGTTGCCTTCTCTTGATTGCCAGGTCATTTCCTGCCCCTGAGGGCTCCCAGACTGCAAGAGGGGGAGACCAGACTGAGGGACCTCCCCCCAAACTCCAGTGCATGAATTTTTATGCACTGGGCTCCTAGTGTCTTAAAAACAGAATATTTTTTTAATGCATGTGATGAGTTGCATATGGTAGAAGAAATCTGTATATCTCTCAGACCTGTTGTCACAATGAATATTTGGATATAATTGCTGAAGGATCTGTATATCTAAGTGAAAGTCTCTGTGACACATTAAAGATCCACAGTTTGAACCTACTAACCAAGCTTTGATACAGGCATGATTCTAATAGGCTGAAAAATACCCCAGAATCTCTTTCCCTGATAACTGATCTTAAGAACATTCAATTTTGATTCTTACTCTCAAAGGTAATATTTAATGTTTCAAGGTAAAGTAATTAGTGTATTTGAGTATATTATGTGATTACATTAAATAAGCATAAATTTAATTTCTTTTATATGGAGTGTAATTAATGTGTACTACAATCTCCCTATGGTGATGAAAGAAACTTGCAATCATGAGGGTATTAAAAATAAACTGAACAAATAGTTGAGAAATAGGGAGGGGAATTTCAACCTTTAGACAGGAAAATATACAAAATAGATGGATATTGTGAATCATTTACCATTATTCTAATGAAAGTATACTTAGCCCTAGTTAGATCTTGGGAAACAACAGAATTTTAGAAAATGCATATACTTTTTCAATATATCCATCTACACACAACTTGGCAAACTAGAAGTATGCTATAGCTGTATGTTCACTGGTTTATGGGGCATCACTTCCTTGTTAATGGATCTTATATCCATAACAACTTTCAAAGATAGTGATTTAAAAGTGATCTCTCTTCACTGAATGAGAATTAGATGGTACATCAGCCTCACAAATTCCAAAACAAATGATAAGGGCTCAGCAAATACCTACTCAATGTTTTAAAGTGCAGAAAGAGAAATGGTTGATAGTTTAAGCTTTACAGTCATGGAAGAGTTTAAATATGTGCCATTTTCTACCTGACCAACTAGACCAGGGGTCAGCAAAATTATCCAGTAAAGGGACACATAGTATATATTTTTGGCTTTGTATAATCTCTCTTGCAACTACTCAACTCTGCTACTATAGCACAAAAGGAGCAATGGGCAGTATGTAAACAAATTAATGTAGCTGTGTGACAATAAAACTTTTTTTGTAGACACTGAAAGTTGAACTTTTGTAATTTTCACGTGACAACATAGTCTTCTTTTTTTTAATTTTTTCTCAACCATCTGCCAAATATTGCACATGAGGGTGATATCCAATTGCACATAAAATAATCTTTACCAATGTGTGTTCATACTTTAACTATAAATGATGCCTCTACTTTTTCAGCAAGACTGTATGCTTAAACAATCAAATGTTAATTATTTTATCTTTATTGTTGAATGTATTATAGATGTCCCTCTTTGACCCTGTTCCCTTCCCCTCCCCAAGCCTTCCCACACTATTGTCAATTCTTGCGTAAAACAAATCAAGCCAGTAACTAATCAGAGGCAGAAGAGCTAGAACTAGAGCAACATGTGACTATTTTACATGTGGCATGATTCAATAATAAGAGACTGAACAACTTGGTTAGTTAGAATATTCCTTAAAGTGACAGACTTAGAGTTGCACTGTAAATTAATAAGAGCTCATACTATATAATAAAAGAGTAATATGCAAATTGACTGTCTCTCCAACACACAGGATGGCCACCCCAATGTGGTCAAAGATGGCCACACCTATGTGGACATAAGATGGCCAGTAGGGGAGGGCAGTTGTGGGCGATCAGGTCAAAAAGGGAGGGCAGTTGGGAGGGACCAGGCCTGCAAGGGAGGGCTGTTGGAGGGGCAATCAGGCCTGCAGGACAGGGCAATTGGAGGGGGCCTATGACTGCAGAGAAGGGCTGTTGGGGGAAGCAAGCCTGCAGGGGAGGGTGTTGTGGGAGCTAGGCCAGCAGGGAAGAGCAGTTAGAGGATACCAGGCTGTCAAAGGAGGGCAGTTGGGGGTGACAAGGCTGGCAGGGGATGGAAGTTGGGGTGGGGCAGGCCTGCAAGGGATGGGAGTTGGGGGCAACTGGGCCTACAGGAGAGGGCAGTTGGGAGTGACCAGGCCAGCAGGAGAGGGAAGTTAGGGGCAATCAGGCCAGCAGGGGAGCAGTTAGGCATCAATCAGGCTGGCAGGGGAGTGGCTAGGGGGTGATCAGTCTAGCAGGCAAAAGCAATTAGGGGCAATCAGGTAGGCAGGCAGGTGAGGAGTAGAGAACCAGCAGTCCTGGATTGTGAGAGGTATGTCTGACTGCCCATTTAGGCCTGATCCCACCAGGCCTAAACTGATGGACAGTTTATCTCTGGGCCCCAAGTGATGGAAATACTCCCATTCCCATGCACAAATTTTATGCACCAGGCCTCTAGTAAAAATGTAATTATTTGTAGGATTAAATTCTCACAAGGAGCAGGGGGAAAAAAAACAATCCTACTTAACAGCCACTAGATTATGATCTAATGCAGCTCCACACACTACCAATTGGCAATCTTGTATATGCCAAGATGGAGGTTGAGACTCACTTCCTATTGAGAGGGCTTGAATTTGGAGGTATTTGTCCTATCGACAGCCTATATGTACATGCCTCCAGCACTTGTCCAATCCCTTTTGACCTGGGGAGCACATCTACATGTGGGTAGACCAAAGAGGGGCACATGCAGTCATATTAGGGGAAAGATTACTGATGGCTCCCTCAGGGACTACAGTCCTTGCCTTTGCCTCATTAGCACCATGCTCTAATTCATGAAGCTCACCTGTTATGGGCTTACAGCACAGAAGCCTTCTGGGCATAGATAGGAAAGAAATCAGGCTGCAGAGAAGATTAAGTCCCCAACTGAACACCCAGAGAAAAATACAGCATCTAAAACTATTTCCAAAGGATGATTACAGCATAATACATTTCTAGATTACAGATGTCCCAAAGGCTACAGAATCCCAACAAGGAATATTCTGTGGCTTAAGAAAAATTCAACTTGAAAATAAAGTACATCAAACCTTTTGGAAAAAGAATTAGAATTTACATTTAACGCTATGCTAGACACTACCCTAGTGACTTGAAAAAGTTAATTATTTTCCAAAATGCCAACAGCTTTCTTGTCATTGGCATTAGCTGATTCATTCTCCCAGGAACTATTAGAAGTAAATGCACTCTTCTTTTCTATATCGGGTACCCACCATAATGGAAGTTAGCAGAGATAAGTTAACACATAGTTCCTAAAGATATGATATTACCAGACCTATAGTAACCCAGCAGATATAGCAGATCTTCTTTCTCTAGGCCACATGACTAGGAAGACTGGTGTGAAACAACACTGCAATCAGATGTCAGGAACCCAAATGACAAGACATACCCTTCTTTTTTTTTTTAATATATTTTACTGATCCCCCTACAGAGAGGAAGGGAGAGAGCCAGAGAGCCAGAAAAGTCGATGAGAGAGAAACACCGACCAGCTGCCTCTTGCACACACCCCACTGGGGACGCGCCCGCAACCCAGGCACATGCCCTTGACCGGAATCGAACCTGGGACCCCTCTGTCCGCAGACCGACGCTCCACCATCGAGCCAAACCGGCTTCGGCAAGACATACCCTTCTTAATTTGAAAGTCTCCCTTCTGGAAGGACAGGATGTCTATATTTAAAAGACTGTCCTACACCTTCTTTATAATTAAAGAGTATACCATAAAACACCTTAGAAATAACTATCTGTTAGCTAGAAAAACTGATAGTTAAATATAGTACATGAGTTTTTCATAAACAGAGACATGAGGCCTTGATGCCAAGGTGCCGAACCTCCCCCTCATGGCTGGAAAACACTTGGCCCATTTTCAGCTATTTACATCTCTGTCATTGGTCCAAGATTTGCACTTAAAATTTAAGCTTTTTAGCATGTGAAAAACCCAAAGACTCAAAGTACTATGCATTGTATATGATTATAATAGTATTTGGCAGTTACTCATGGATGGCACATATTAATTTATGTAAACTGGACACAATTTAGGACACTTTGGGATAACGACCACAGGAAGAAATAAACACACACACACACACACACACACACACACACACACACACATCCTAAAAAATGCTGGTCCTGACTTATTGGAGGTATTTTTGTTTGTGTGTGTTTTTTGTTGTTTTTAAATAGTCATGAATGGAGATTAACTCAAAATCCAAGGTCTCATTTATGACTATTTTTTTCACATGCATGGAGTCTATTCAAATTACAATTTTCAACTAATAAAAAAATAACTTACTTCACAGGATTATTCTTAGGTTTTGCCTTTTCAACAGCCTGTAAACAGAAGGAAAAATACAATTAGACATTAGCAAGCATAACCTTTGCAACTAGTTACCAAAACAATAAACAACATAAAATGTTCTTCAGAAAGATAAAGAGAGCTAACTGAAGCAGGCTGCTGGAGATAAGCAGACTGTAGACACAGGAAGCAATTTTACTCTCCGAGGGAACATGGTTACATTCCTAAGTACATCTTTCAGACACAGGTGGGCATTGTCAGGGCTGCCTGGAAAGTTCAGCCGTGACCATAGGAGTAGTGCTTAGATTCACAAGAGGATTCTCCCCTTCCAGCCTTTTCATTCTAATATTCCCCTGTGTGGTCCTTCTTTAGTTTTTATGACAGAAGGGGTGATAGATGCAAAGCATCTGCATCTGTGGTAGAGAGTCACTTACCATGCATTACTACTGACACCTGACTGAACCTGCATGATGACAAAAAGGCTAACATATCCATTTCTAAAATAATTTTTATTAGCAGACATTACAAAAGGACAAGGGATAACAGAATGCTTAGATCTTTGTACTCCAGTGAAACCTTTAAGAAAACACACCAGCCGAAACAGGTTTGGCTCAGTGGATAGAGCATCGGCCTGCGGACTGAAAGGTCCCTGATTTGATTCCAGTCAAGGGCATGTACATCAGTTAGCTGATCGATGATTCTCTCTCACCGATGTTTCTAACTCTCCATCTCTCTCCCTTTTCTCTGTAAAAAAAAAAATCAATAAAATATATTTTAAAAAAGAAAAAGAAAAAAGAAAACACACCAAATCATTGAAATGAAAAAAATCTCTGGGCCTCTCGGCCTGCACTGCCTCAGACATGAAATCTAGTTCAAATTTATTGCTGAACTCATTGATCTGTATATAGTTCATTTATCATTCAGGAAAAGAGATAGTGATCTTCACAGTATATTAGAAGAAACAACTCAGATCATCTGTTAATAGCCTTCTGATTTCTGTTTTCCTCTCCGCAGGGATTACATTTCCTTCAATTATTTTGGAATTAAAATGTTGCTAAGCAACGCAGCTGGGGTGATGATGATAGAATGGCTATAGTCTATCAAACTGTTTAAGAATCTGGAGGTTTTAGTGATGACTTTTTTTCATACTTTTGTAGCATAATTAGATAATAAGAACCAAACTTGTACTTGCCTAGACTTTTTGAGGCTATAGAATAATACTTAATACTAGAGGCCCGGTGCATGAAATTCGTGCAAGGTGATGTATGTCCCTCAGCCTAGTTGGACATCTCTCTCACAATCCAGGTTTGCTGGCTCTCAACTGCTCACCTGCCTGCCTTCCTGATCGCTTCTGCTGCCAGCCTGGTACCACCTAACCACTCCCATGCCAGCCTGATTGATGTCTAACTGCTCCCCTGCCTGCCTGTTTGCCCCCAATTTCCCTACTCTGCCGGCCAGACCACCACTAACTGCCCTCCCCTGCAGGCTTGATTGCCTCTAACTGCCCTCGCAGGCCTAGTCCCTCCCAACTGCTCTCCCCTGCTGACCATCTTGTGGTGGCCATCTTGTGTCCACATGGGGGCAAGATCTTTGACCACATGGGGGTAAACATCATGTGTGTTGGAGTGATGGTCAATCTGCATATTATTCTTTAATTAGCTAGGATAGAGACCTGGTGCATGGGTGGGGGCCAGCTAATTTGCCCTGAAGGGTGTCCTGTATCAGGGTAGGGGTTCCCTTAGGGTGTGGGGTGGCCTGGGTGAGGGGCCTGTGGTGGTTTTCAGGCCATCCATGTCCCCTGGCGACCCAAATGGAGGCCCTGGTATCTGGAATTTATTTACCTTCTACAATTGAAACTTTGTAGCCTTGAGTGGAGGCCTGTGGAAAGCTTGGCTTCTGTTGCCGGGAAATCCAAGACTCTCTTAACTGCTCACTGTGGCTGTAGCCATCTTGGCTGGGGTTAATTTACATACTTTATCTGATTGGATGATAGGCGTGTCTGGTGGGTGTGGCTTTAGCGAAGTGGTGGTTAATTTACATATTGCTCTTTTATAAGGTAGGATACAGTCATATTTGTAGCACTTAACAGCAGTTAAGTCAATGATGGCATAAGATTATAATTGAGCTGAAAAATTCCTTTCCTCTATTGACCTCATAGCCATTGTAACATTGTAGCACAACACATTACTCATATGTTTGTGGTGATGCTGAAGTAAACATACCTACTGTGCTGCCAGTCATTTAAAAGTATAGTAATACAATCATGCACTGTACATAACACATGATAATAATAATAATAGAGAATTATGTTACTGGCTTATGTATTTACTATACTATAGTTTTTATAATTATTTTTGAGTGTACTCATTTTACTTATAAAGAAAAATTTACTATAAAATAGTATACTCTATTCAGCTCACAGCAAGCAGCCTTATACATGCAGCATCTCTTGACTGTACCATTTTCCCTTGTGCTTGATTTAATCTTGTGTTGTTTTGGTCATCATGGTCCTTAAACATTAAATCACCTAATGATGCATTTCCCTATTGTTAAGGAAATCATGATTACATATACATATGTGTGTATATATGTGTGTGTGTACTATATATGCACATATATACACACATATATACATATACACACACATTTGTACACATATGTGATTCAAGGTTAAATATGGAATCTGAATCCACTTCCACTAGGAAGAAACAAGATTTATTAACAAGTTTAAAATGTTTATATCTAATATTTCAAAGATCCCTATGAGATAAATTTGAGAAATATGTTGTTATCCCATGTATTTTGGCAATGACTGCTGCTTTTATCTATCCATCCACTTGAATTTTGAATAATTAACATAGGAGTGGTAGCTAATCTCAAATGTGAATACCTCTTCTGTTAATTATAATGCTTATACTTATGCCCTTTGATTTTGCTAAATAAATACAAGAAATAATACAGCTGCTTAATAATAAGACATATTCTGTTTTCCATTAAAGACAAGGCCCTGGTTGTTTGTAGCCTGCCTGGTATCTTTTTCAGCAGGTGGCAGATATTTGGGGACAGAGTAAAGCATTCCTTTACTGAACCAAAGCCCTAGTAAAATTTTCAAAGCCAGAACATAAATTTCAAAATCTCATATTTTCAGTTTGGCAAAGTGCTTTATTACAAAGCTTTCACTAAGGATGTTCATGTTGCTCCACTAGTATATGCTAGAACCCTGATTAAACTTAAGACTTGGAAACTTCCAATAAATGCACGAACATACATTACATTGCCTGAGGTTTTTTAGCTGCTAATGACTCCAAGGCAGAACTTCCAGGCTTCAGTCATGGATTTGGGCCCAAATTGGGGTGATGAAGAGTCCTAAGGAAAAGAATATGCTTCTACCAAACAAGTCAGGTGATTAGAGAGGAGAGAAGACCAATGATGTCTAGTCACTTCCTTGAACCCAGAGGCAATGACAAAGGGAAATATTGTGATGCCTTTTCCTTCCAGTACTTTAATTCAAATTAGGTTAGTGATTCCCCAGGTTTCCAGGGGTGGCTGCTATTCTCCCTGTAATCCTCTGTACAGAGCCATATATGTTCCACATATTCTTTGTGGAAAATAAAGGTTGTAGTCATGCTTGTCCTACCTGAAAGCTATCTAAAATCAAGTAACAGATTATAATCATTTCAGTTTTTTTTTTTTTTGTTCTTGATGGAAGCAGCACACCCTCACCAATATTTGAATTAATATCATTGTGAGAAACGTGTTAAGCAAATAAAAATAACAAAATTCTCATAGATGGATAATTCACAAAATGTAGTGAGCATTAGCTAGTATCTGGCCATCCTATCTTATAAAAAGGTAATATGCAAATTAACCGTCACTCCATCACAATAAAAAATATGATGGCGCCCAGTCCTCATAGCCCCACAGAAGTCCCCCAGTCCCAGGGGGGGAAGGGGGTGGTCACTGAGAGAGGCAGCATGAGCAGCCTGGAGGAATGCTTGCTTCGTCACTGCAGCAACAAGGTAATAATTCCATGCCAGGCCGCGAATGGGCCTCTGGGCCATGGAGAGCCTCTGGGCAGTGGGCATGGAGCAGCCAGGCCTCACAGAGAGCTACTGGCACATGGATTCATGCACAGGGCTACTAGTCAGTTATTAAGAGCACAATATGTACAACATTGTGATTCTCAACATCTCTGTGTGCTCAAAGCATAGTTTTAGTTTGTAATATAAAGGCATTCTATGGAGTCACAAATCAAAATATTTGATACTAAAAGTAGAATACCTAGTTACAATTTAAAAAAAAAAACAGTATGTATGTTTCTAAACAGAAACATATTTGCCTGGAGCATTTTAAAAATCACATTGTATGAGCCCTAAGAAGTTTCATATAAATCTAGTCTCTATGCTAATACAGCCAAATAGGGAACACAATCTTGTGAATATGAAGGCCAATGCTATTCTATTAACCTTATATGTTATCCTACTTATTTTTCTGTCCTCAATGAATAAATTAAAATATCCACTCATTCTCTAATTGTTGGATAGAGTATGACAATATATTATTTTTTTCAGCTGCATTCTGCAGCGTTCACAGCCAAACTGGATCATTTTGTGGGGCATTTCAATGAAAAGCAATGACAGATAAACTGTTTACATTAAAACTCTATCAAAGTTATTTTGCACCTGGTTTCATCTTTTTTTTTTTTTTTTTCCTTAATTTTTATTGTTCATATTATTACAAATGTCCTTTCCCCCCCCCTTCCCACTCCACCCTCTGCCCTTTCCCCACCCCCCATTGTCCTCATCCATAGGTGCACAGTTTATGTTCAGTCTCTTCCCATATCCCCCTCTCCCCTTTTCCCCAAGAATCATCAGTTCACTCCCCTTCCATACCTCTGATTCTATTATATTCAACAGTTAATATTGTTCCTCAGATTTTTTTTTAAATTTCCTTGGTTTTTAGATTCACTTGTTGATAGCTACGTATTTGTTGTTCATAATTTTTATCTTTTACTTTCTCTTCTGAAAGAACCCCC